GCAGCGTTTCAGGAGCTCACCTTGTGTCACGTCCTCAGGAACAGATGTGGAATCTGCTGCTGCTCTGCTCTCTGTGGCTGTTTCTGAACCTGAGGACAAAGTGTTTCATGATGTTCAGCTTTGCCAGGAGAAAGCAAATCTTTTTCTTAAAAAAAAAGTGCAAATGAGTATGTGCAACAAATCCCCTGTATATAAAGTAAGTGGAACATTTATGGTGCAAAGGTTCAAGATGTGCAAATACAGTAGTGCAAAGATTGCATGAAGTCATTGCATTAAGAGGAGGACAAAAGGGGTTCAGTGGAGGTAGATTGGAATTGTTAAGCAGTCTTATGGCCTGGAAGTATGTGGTTGTGAATATTCTCATTTGTAGAGCAGAACCTGCCATAGATCCATTTAGTTGGTACACAAACTGAAGGTGGTTCAGTGTGAAGGAAAGAGGGGATCTGATGTGGTTTGATCATTTATCCAAGAATTTACATTTGGATTTATATGTGGATGTGTACAGTGTGCCCTAAAATGTCAATGCAGCTGCTGATGTAACATGAGTTCACTTTCAGAGGTTCTTATCTGTCCTTACTATGTTTTTTTTGGGGTGCACCTTTTTTATGGCTAAAGTTGGTAAATGGTTTGAAGGAGTCGTAATTCATATGATGAGAACAGGGAGGACACAAGTGCAGACACATCCAGGCAGGAGCGTTTTTGTTTTTTTTGCATTTATGTAAACTGATGAAGAAAATACAGCTTTAAAGTCATGCAGGCAGAAAAAATATGTACCAGAGCTGAACAACAACAGAAACCAGAAGAGGACTTGATGATGTGACGACAACCAAATGATGACAGATGTCTGTCACTTCATTTTTTTGTTTCTTCTATTTTAACTTTATATTTGGGTTTGCTAAATGTGGAACTGCTTCCTCAAGGACAAAACATCCACCTGCAAAACATACAAAACACAATCTGTATCTATGACTAGTGTAAACCTGCTTATGGGCCATTTGTAGAACTATGCTATAGATGACACAGGAAGGCTGATACTGAAGTGAAAGCATTTTCTGTTGCACATTAGGTGTGGAGCAATAATTCTTGTTCTGACCAGTTTTGAAAACAGCCATTAGACAATGTTCGGTGTGGTAACTGGTTCTGCATTCTTAGTCTGGCGCAACTTGTAGTTGCATCTACATCAAGTGTTCCGTAACAACGCTCCATTAAATGCTGCTCGACTCATATTTGTCTTTTAGATATTTCGTTAAGGTGGATGCTAACAAAAGAAACCAAACGGTGTAAACACTGTACAAACAGTTAGTAATGTGCCAGCTGGCAGGAAACGTTCCCCCAACATTGGCTAACATTAGTTAATAGTTCTGATCCTTTTTTCTTTCTTTTTTTTTTGAAAAAAATATTTTTAAGAATATTTTAATTACCAATGTTGTTCCTATAAAATCATTATGATGTTCTATCATCAACATTTAGGGAATGTTGTCTGGAACATAGATTGTGTTCCATGCCAACAAATGAGGAACGTTCTCAATCTAACAATTAAAAATACAAACGTTTCCCAAAGGTAATCAAGGCCTCCAAGGATGTTTGTATGAACCTAGTTGTGATGTGACATATGAACAAAGGTGGAACATCCTTCCTGGAATGTTGTGAGGATGTTTTGGGGATATTGTTGAGGGAACACAACAATGTTCTACAGTATAACATTTCCATAATGATACAAAGGAAGGATATCTTCAATGCAACATTTAGAAAACATTTTGAAGACTTCATCATGATCTAAGATGACAGAACGTTGTATAATGTTCCTGTAATGCGATATATTAAAGGTAGAACATTTTGCCTTGTTGTTGAGGGAACACGTAGAACATCCATCCAAATAATGCTTGGACAATGATACAAAGGAAGGATGTTCTGTCTTTGGCACAGAGCGCTTCAGTCTTTACTTCCTGCTCAGTCATGGTCTCAGCAGATCTTCTCAGGTAGTCATCCTCCATCCATTTCACTCTGTCTAGGGTCTGATGGGTTGACAGCAGACCAAGCAGGTCATTCCAGAACTGCCTCCACTGAGATCGGGGTCGACCCCGGGGTCTCCACCCAGTTGGATGTGACTGGAAAACCTCCAAAGTATTCAGGAGGCAACTTAGTCAGATACCTCAACCACTCCAACTGGCTCCTTTCGACTCGACTCTGAGCTTCTTCTGGATGTTCCAGCTCCTCACCGTATCTCTAAAGCTAAGGTCAGCTTTAGAGATGTGGCAGCAACTAACTCCAACCAGAGGGACCAATCCATCGGTATCTGGTACAGAACCATGACCTCAGACTTGGAGGTGCTGACACTGACACCTTAAGATCCTGTCAGTGATTCTCACAAACAGGATCAGAGTGACAAGAAGTATCACTGGTGGAGTCCAACACTCTGATCAGTCAGTGAACAAATGATGATGATGATGAACGCTGTGACTCAGTCAGTCAATACATGCAGGAGGATGTTGTGAGTG